TCATTAACAAGTGTTGCTAGGTACTCTTGAATGTACATCTAAAGAAATTAAGCACAACCAAATGTGATTTTAAAAGCTTTAAAATGTCAGTGGTGATGACGTATTCCAGTTACACAGTTAACAAATAACTGTATAAGCAACTTCAAGGGAATAATTTCAGCAAAAGAGAATACTTAAATACTTTCCACAAAAAAAAGAATACTTAGAGTTCTGTTACTAGAACAAAGGCCACGGCAGCAGCAGAATGAACAGAGATACTGTCACGTGAGCCAGAGAGCCATTTATCACTTTTCAGTGACCTGAGGTATGCAATAAAGTCTTCCTTCTCTAAGTTTAAAAACTTGGAGGGAAACAGAGCCATTCATTTTTTTCAGCTGCAGAATTTCTGTGAAAGGATCTTCCAGAGAAGACCTCATGGAAAGGAAAAGACAGTAAAATGTGATCATACATATTGATACCTGAAGAACTTCAGCTACCTAGAATTTATTTCTTTTTTAAACTGCAAGCAACACTCCACATGCACACTCACAACATGAGGGAATGAGGCATAACAGCAGCATTCATTTGAGATGGGCCCCAGATTTCTGTACAACCACAACAAGTCACCCCAAATATCTACTCTGTTCCATATTTTCCAGCAATGGAGGAGTGATCTCTCTCTTCTGGATACCTACTGATCAAGGTGAATTTTAGTGAGCAAAGGTCAAAACTTACACAAGCAAGTAAAAAATAAGATTAAAAAACCCGATATTCAGACAGCTGAGAGGCAGCCCACTATTTCCTTTCAGTGTCTAAATGGAGATGGCCATATTTTTGCAGCCATCTGCTACAGAAAAAGCCTCCAGCATAATCTGAAGGAGAACATCCTTTCAATGCAAGGAAGAACCTCAATAGAAACAGGTACACTCAGCCAGCTACATAGATAGATCTTCTAGATTAGACCTCTGAATAATTTGGCATGGTTATCACAGGGATACCTTATTCCCTTGTCAAGCAGTATCAGAGATATGAGGAAGGGAACAAGAAACCTCAGAAACTTGGAGATTTCTTAAAAAAGAAGCTGCCATCACATAGAACAGTGTTCTAAATAAATGATACATTATGTTCTTAATAAATTTTACACTCAAGAGAGACTAATTTTCAGTTTCAGCAGCTAGTTCAGAAGGACTAGTACTGAAGTCTGAATACACTCCAATGAATATAAGACTACTAAAGACCACCAGGTTCTCTCAGAAGTATTCCAGGTATAGATTAGAAGCATCCACATCATGGAGGATTGGATATACTGATGCAATGAACCACCTGCACCCACGCTGTGAGAAATTCAGCAAGACTGCAGTTCTGTATCAGAAGATCCTGAAGGAAGAAAGACATCCCAAAAGCTTTTCGGCTGTAAGAGGAGTTGAGCACAGTAGACATGCTGGAAACCTAGATCCCACAATCTTGATGTCCCAACACTGAAGTCAAGCATCCTTGACACACAACATGGTACAGGACATCTTTCTTCTTTTGAGTCTATGATAAGAGACAATAGGTCCAATAAAGGGGACATTTAACACTATAAACATTGCTGGGTAGGAGATCAGCTGAGAGCACAAGTTTGGTATCAGCGTGTCTGTCTGAAGCCAGTGCTAGAGGGCTACGGTCTAATCAGTGCAGATAGGTCAGATAAACCACAGTACTCTTCCTTGCTTTCAGCCTCATGAGCCAGAAGCACAGGAACAGGGATTTCATCGATTGAATTGGCCTGATGGCTACTCACAAGCCTCAGTGATTACCACAGAAGGCCAGGAGATGAAATAGTCTCAGACTTGACAGTGCACCATACTATATTAGGAAATTACCTTCTAAAATTTCCCTCCGGCTCAGAGCCCTAAGATAAGGTTGGTGCTAGTAATAAGGATCTGACAGAAAGAACAAAATATCCAGTATCAGTTTTACAGCCTTCTTCATATGAAAGCTTTAGATGTTCAAGACAGACTTACCATGAATACAAGCACAATGACCCACCGTCCCTGGGAGTACACCAATTCCTAGATGCAACTGAAAGGACTCACCCACCACAACTTAAGCACAGCCATGTCTGAAAATGCTTACGAATGCAATACACGAATTAGAGAATGAAAAGAACAGCACCCTATCTTTTCAGTATGATCAGGAAGAACTGAAATTGCAGCAGGAACACTGTACCCTGTCTAGTGCTCTGCTACTGTGCACAAGCTTCTCTTTATGGATACTGCAAAAATAAAAAAGTTATCCTATATCAAACAATAAAACAAACGCATAATCAAACCTTTATCAACTGCTATAATTCATGATTACAAAGAAAATTCATAGTAAGGAATGCAAGCTGACATTAGTTTGCTGCTGCTTTCATTTTCTTTACTGATTATTAATAGCACAGTAAAGGATACAGAATCTAGCACTATAAAATTCAGAGAAGGTATTTGAAAAAGACAGTCATGGAACATAAAATTGCTCAGTAGTCATGCTATATTCAGAACAAAACCTGACTGCATACACATCTTGATCAAAATGAAATATTTTGCTCCAGAAGGAATTTTAACTTTTAAACAAGCTCTTAAGTGAATGTGATCAGTCTCCAGAAAGCTGAGGTTAATTCAATAAATCATTAATATCTCTGTTCCAGGCAGAAGATACTCTCTGCTCTACATTTTCCATTAATAGAGAATTAAGAAAAATCAGTCATTTTTTCATAAAAAAATAAGAATTATCAAACGATACTGTTCTTTATCTCTACAAATACAGTCAATTAAAGGCAACTCCAAAGACAGGCTACTTTTGTTAACATCACAGTGGCTCCAAGGCTGTCATTAGAGAAGAATTAAATTGATCTAAAAACTTGATTCCAACAAAAGGAGAGGTTTCCTCCCTCCTGCCCAGACCACTCAGTCCTACTATCTCTATGTGCTAATATTACAACTTTTTGACCTCACTGAAAACTATGCCACAGAACTAAATATATATATTTTTTTTCAGTTCTAGTTTCCTGCTAGCCTGTCATGGCTCTCCATGGGGGTCAAACAAACGTAACTGGTGGCATGACAAAAGCAGAACTCTGCAACAAGACTTTTTCAGGGGCAGCCAGGCATTGGATTGGCTTAGAATGGAGCTTTACAGTAAATCTTAATGCAATTATGAAGGAAAAATAGTAAAGTGCTATTTTTAAAAGACTGCTGTAGATGCTGATTCTCAGTTATTGATGCTCCAAAACTACCAGGGAGCACAAAGATGACTGGGAATTGCTACTATTAGTGTTGCAAGTGAATGAAAAGTTAAGCCATTTAACAACATTTTCTACCTCACTAATTCCCAGCTACTTCCATGAAAAGAAAGCGTTTCTACACCACGTTCAAGACTTGTAGACAACACTAACAGGAATTTTACTTCCAACTCTTCAGAGGGTTGTTAAGAAAAACTTGAAGTACAGAGGCACATATTTTGACTTTAAAGTACTCATCTCTGTCAAGTTCTAAGCTGAGTTCAGCAGACTTTACTAGAGTATATGATGCCACAGGGGACAGTGTGTGAAGTACTCTCAGACTTTAGCTGCTGATGTGTCTTACTTCCCATTTAAAACATCTTCACCCCCTCATGCACAGAAGATTTTATGCTTATCTGAAAGTCTAAGGTGTGGATCAGCAGTATCATTTGATGAACGGCTTGCTGTCATTAAAACAGGTGGCCTTACTTACTTGCAAAAGTTGCCTCCAAAGGAAACCTCTACTTCTAAGCATTTCAAACTGTATAACAATATCTCAGCTGAATACTCAGCTATCAAAACACTCAGAAACAAATCAGCATTTTATGGAACTATTTCATCATGATCTTACACACATAGCCCATAAGCACATTTAGTTAGAGGGCTTTTATGTGAAGCTTCAGCAAAAGAACTTTGAAAAGAAAACTAAAGTCATGCAAATCAGAGAAGCCAATCTGGAAGCACACTTTAAAGTTTTTGGTTACTCTGTTCTCACTTCTACTTTCAAACATTAAGTTACAAAAGTTGCTAAGGATAACACACAAAGAATTCTTATATGGTTCATCAAATTTCATGCAGGTTTTTTGCTGTTGTTGTTTTTTTTTTTTTTTTTTTTTTTTTTAAACAGTCACTAAAGTAGCTTCAGACCTGTTCTTTATGGATTAGATAACGATCCAGATCAGTATTGTTAGATTCTGAAATACAAGATTGAGCATGTGCAGGAGAAGACTCCACAAGGCAACTGTCTGCACACTCAGGACAAACAAGCATGCACAGCTAGTTAGCAGCACAAATACTTTTAGTTACAGGAATAACCATACTGTCCCCCTAAATTAAAGGGTTACTGAATTCTGAACAATAACAAGAAGAAACCATAACTGAAGATTTTAACAATGCAAGGATTAAAGCCCTTTTACAGAGCAGATAACAAGCTCCTACTGCTAAATACATTTAGTTCATGAAACCTGCTGCTCTACTAGCACTTGTTTTCAAGGAAACATTAAATTTCAAACCTAATGAGTTCATTCCTCTCATTTTTAATGCTACTACTAACAAATCTATTTGAAGAACTTACAAGTTAAATTCCTGAAGAGTGATAAGGCCTACAGACACATGCCACACACTTTATTGATCAAAAGACTTTTTTTTGAATATTCAGGCTTATGTAATGTCAAAAAAAGCTCAGGCTGCAGGAAGAAAAGTCAGTTGCGGACCAAATTCAGACTGGTTTAGACATGCATACAGATGTTCAAATTTAGGAACTTATTTATTGTACTACTTAAGCACAGACAAAAGAATCATGAATTCAATCTCAAGTATCCTATCTTCCTGGCACTTGATTTCTAGTCTTAACATTACTCTAGATACATGCATTCTCATCAGTAGTTTGATTACACATACATAAATATTGAATAACTCTACATTAAATTGCATACAATCAAGTGTTTGGTTGAGTAGTCTACCACAAAGTAAAAACTTCTTATATACTAGATTATACCTGCAACTTTGTCCCGAATAAGTTTTGCAGATTCAACTTCGCCAATACTGCTAAATAGACTCCGTAACTCATCTTGCGTCATGTTCTGAGGGAGGTAGTTCACAATTAAATTTGTTCTACCAATATCATCCCTGCAATCTTCAGCCATGTGATCTTCATAACCATTAGACATTTTATATTATATCTGCAAAGAGAAAAATCCCAAATAAGTTCTAGATCTTTATGTTTCAGTAAGCCAAACTTTCTCCACCTGAAATAAGTTTGAATGTTTATTTTAGAAGACTGAGAACAAGGATTTCAACTTTATGTATTTTCCCACTTGTAAAACAAAACATTGTTTGTGAAAATCCCAGAACAATTCACTCTTTCAAGCTAACAAGCATGGTATTTTGCAAAAACATGTAACATTAAAGAGCTCTCAAGTTTTTACATAAATAGGAAAAAAAACAAGACAGATTTTGTACACATTCCTATAAACACCAAAGTATTCACAAGAGCCAAGTAAAAATTCAGGTTTCCAATTTGACAAATGCCAGAAATGAAAATTGCCATCCCAACCTTAATTGCAACCTTCTGCTCAAAACTCTTAAAAGGCAGAAAGAACAGCAGCCGCCAGATCTACTTGACCCAGTTCAGTACCTCAACTGCAGACCATTTATTTTCTAAACGTTTTCTCCTTTCCACATTGCTTAGTCTGCATCTTAAGGCACTGTTGTTAAATGGTAGTCTTTGAGCGACTACTTAATTGTATAGATGAAACAGATCAAGCTGCAGTGAACATTAACTTTGGTGTTTACTGAGTATTTCTTACAGCTTTTATTTTAGCACCTTTTTAAAATAAAGTCTTGAAAAAACATCCAGAAATTTCATCACATGGAGATATTCTCTGTATCAACCATCAGCAGTGACTGAATCCTGAAGTTTCATATCCACAGAAGACTTACAATTCCATCTCAATCATAACAGACTCAAGCTGCTCTTTCCTCATGGCCTGCCAAAATGGTAGGGATGTTAAAGTGCTTTTACAACTGCTTAGAAACATTCAAAAGCAGCATCCCTAAGCCTTACTGCTGTGGGAGGAATAAGGTCTAGCAGATTCAGGAAGCCCAGACTGGCATTTTCTTTATGGAAACCATCAGGAATCTAATTTGATGTAGTGTATGAGACTCCAGTTCTCAAGCTTTTTGGAGTAGATTTGTTCATCCTCTCACTTAGAGGAGGTTAAACATCTCTAGCTCAAAAATAAGATTCATTAAACAAAGCCACATTAAGACCAGCTGTGAAGTGCATAGAATTAACAGAAAAGCTGCTAAAAACCTGAAGTGAATTCAGGGCCCCCTGATGTTCAGTTCAGAGCTCCTCCTTTTATGGTGTAACCAGTGCAACTCTTGTAGCACAGCTGCTTCCTATTGATGGTCATTTAACAGGTATTTTAATGCCTCTCCTTTTTTACATTCATGTTATGAAAGCTTCCATTTTGCCTCAGGAACCAGCAGGCAGTTTTGACTGCACGCTTGACGTGACTTTGAGGCTCAATCCCTCATCTACAAGTAAATCAATATCGTAACTATAAATTCAGACTTCTAATCTAAATAAATTCCCACTCCAACTAATAAACTAGTCACATTCCTCCAGTTTATCAAGTCAGTTCCATCTCCATTAAGGAAACCAAATCAGTCAGCTGCAGAAAAGGTTTCAGTTACTGCATTTTAGACTCACTAACTGTCTAAACATACAGACCATACTCATAAGAAACCCTTTTAATATGGGTACACCCTAAATGTAATTATTTAAAATGGTTCTGATTTTGCAAATGCTATTAGACTTCTATATGAAATTATGCATAAGTAAGTTAAAAAAGCATGGAGATGAATCTATTTTGTTCATAATACTTCCTCTGTGCTTCACTCAAGTCAAAAACTACTTTTCACCTATAAAAATCATTTGATTAAAACAAACATTTGATTTTCTGCATCTACTACAACATCAGTATTTGTGTATGTTACCACAGAATACAAATACTTTGACAGCATACAGACATGTCAACTTACATAGTAACGTTGAAATAATGTTTTGAGTTTCCAATTCAGACTCCACTAGTAAGAGGTTTAAGACCAAAGACTCCAAGTATTTTTAATCCAATTCTGATATATTTTTCCCCCCCTTTTCATTTTTAAAGCTAATCCCTGAGAGAATCCAATTCTTTTTATAATCCAAAGTGGTCACTCCAGGAACAACATCCAGGAGTATGCAGAGAAGTTTGGCTGCATATAGTTAAATTAACAGCACTTGCTAAATTCCATTTACCAATCTGTAAATTCATATCCTCATATTTCCAGAATAAAAGTAAATGAAGGCCTCACCTGATGCAAGAGATCCAAATGTTAAGTATACTGATCCATTACTACCCAAAAAAATATTAAATACAATCAGTCTAATGACAAATCCAAGCACAGGAAACAGCAGCAGGCTTACAACTGTTTAACACAGTCCCAAGACTAGTGTAAACCTGTCAAGTTCAACATAAAATCTGATTCTGGTTGAGCCTCTCAAAGCCACCGCAGAAGCATTAATTACCATAGGGCCAAAGATGACATTTTGTATTTACTTTAATAGAATTCCAATATACTCACTTGTCCAAAAGAATAAGGTAAGATGCTATAATTAAGGAACTATTATTAACATTCCTCTAGTTTTAGTTTGCTTGAGAACTCAGCTGACAAGATTAACACTGTGATAGTGATACCTATGTTAGATAACCTCTCCTGACGGTCTAATCAACCCCAGTTGAATTAGGACAGTTACTGCTTCTCAGCTTCCGTTAAAACATGACATCAGAAGAAGTGTTCAGCATATGCAGAAGCTTCTAGCTCGTTTCAATGCAGAATGAGCCAGCAAGCCTTACAGTACCATTCGTGGTTAATAGTAGTTACATTTGACAATTTAGTTTTGCACTAAGATGGGCCAGAAGCATGCACACTATCCAGGTGTGCTTCTTAAATAAGGTGATTTTGAGTTACAACCAGTAACACCACAAGAGCTGTATATAGCACCAGCTTGCAGATTTTCATGAAACTACAGCCTCTGCTGCCCCCTACGCTACGGGCCTGAGCAGCAACGGTACACTGCTTTCTTTAAGGATTAGGACCTGTTAGAGGATAAACTTCTGCCAGAGATTGCACCACTACTGACACCTAGAAGCTGAATAACAGAAAGTCAGAAAAAGCAACTAGAAATCCTAACTCTGAAAAGGGAATGCTGCCTTCAGTTTGGATGCCAACTTTTAGTTTCACCTTTAACACTTTTGTTTTGTGAGTGTCAAATATATTTTATTTGAGGAAATATCAGAGTACACCATTTCAGAATAAAGCAGTACTAGACTTATTTCGTTTGAGGTTTAGTACAGTACAGACTTAAACTAAATCTATTATTTTTGGATTCGAGTTTGAATCAAACTAACAGCTGGCAGCTTGAGGAAGGAGAGGTCTTGCTCCCCCCACCCATTGCTGACTAGCCTTGTACACCCCATTTCTGTATTCCAAGGGTCAACATAAGCAATCTCCCATGCCTTTCTGCCCACAGGATAACCAATTTGAACCATGAAAGAGGTGGACAAACTACACTAGGATGGAAGCATTTTTTGCTGTGTCAGCAGCTTTAATCTGCTTCCCTTGCAGCAAGATAAGTACCAGAGCTAATGCCAGAGAGGAGAGGAGAGGAGGAGAAACTGCAAAGCTAGGAGCAGAGGAAGACTCCTCCATTTTGCTATTTTCCACCTGCCAATTTGACTCACCTGTATTGTGAAGCTACACCATTAATTAGAGGTTCCCTTCCAGCTCTGTCAGAACTGTCTGAGCACATGCTCCAAAAAAAAAAAAAAACCCAAACAAAAAACCCCCAAAAAACAAACAAACCCAATCACCTAGTCTGTTAAATGACACTCAAACAGCAGAGCCTTCTTTGCTCAACATATCTGAGCTATAAAACAATTTAAGTTCTCAAAAATGATTTAATGGAAAGCAACTTTGCTTGCCTTTATTCTGTGCAAAATTCAAGCCCTATTTGTGCAATACACCAATAGGCTGATGAGTCTGAAAATTATACAATACAGTTAGAATATTTAGTAAGCAATATAGTACAGTTAGAAAAAAAAAATCAATGCTTCTTCCTTTGCTTACTAAATATTCTAACTCTTCACAATGAAGGTTCAAATTTCTCTCACGCTCAACCAAGTTTGCCCAAGATACAACACAAATCCTTGCTGATGCCAAGATTCTTCTCTTGCCAAGTTTAAAGTTGCTATACATACTAATCTCTTCCAAAAACAAAGAATTCCAAATCTATTTTCATTATCTTCCAAATACAAGGTATCCACAACAGCTGCCTGAAAGAGGAGGCACCACAGATGGATACCAAGCATAGAGAATTCCAAGGCACACTATAATGGCAAGATACCAGACTTACATCTGGCATTAAGCAAAACTGACAGGAGTTTGGCAAGCAGCTATCAACTTTAAATCATTTTACCACAGTTTCTAATCTCAACCGTCTGTAATAATTACCATCTATATTTCCCTGTGATAAACAAGGAGTGCCTAAGGCATTGTTGATTCAGAAGCAATTAGAACTGTGAAGGAAGTCTTCCATCTGCTTTTCTTCAGACATTAGAAAAAAATTACAGGAAGCCCTTCCATAAAGGCCCACAAAAAACGTTTGTCAGGATACCAGTAACAAAGCATGGGGGAAATGATAAAGGAGTAGTAGAACAGAGGTAAAGGAGCAGAGTACTGAAAGCGAAGATGCTCCTTGCCTCCTATCTTTCACCAAACACTTACAGAAGCTACTACAAGATGAATACATATTTTTCTGGCCATCCTGGAAGTTAGTGGGACACCACTTCCTCCACTGGTGGTTAACAGACCTTGTGCCAGTGAGAATAAAAACAGCTCCTAAAGAACTGCTATCATTGATATACTAAAAAGAATTCCCCAAAAGAAAAAGGGAGTATCAAATGGTCAGTATGGCTAAGATCAGCAAAATTACATTAGAAATCTTTAATTCTGCTCCCACTGAAATACGTCAAGGGATTAAATACAGGGAACCTCCTGATCTTTCTCAACCTGTCAAAGAAGGAATAATCAAACATCAACAGATATACCAAAGAGATCAGAATTCAGGCCTTGAAACTAATTTCTACCTGTAACTTCATTAAATGATACCTGTCAATCCACTTTCACATAAATCAGAAGTATGAATGCACTTACATACTCTGTGGAAGGACAAGGAAGGAAAGAAGGTTTAACAGCTCCATTTGGAAAGACTACTTGTAATGAGGCTGGCTAAGTACTTCGTAACCTTCCCAAAAACACCTTCTGTTCCAGGTCCTGAAAAAAAGGAAATCTTAACAACTAACTTCTATTGTCGTAATGTTCATAAAATGAGAATTTATCTAAACAAAAAAACAACAACACTCCTCTCTAGAAATTTGTTTTAAAGGGCAGCTTTCTTTTTCTTCCTTATGCAAGATGCCCACAAACTTAAGAGGCCAAGAATGCACAGAGCAGCCAACAGGAACCATGTATCGCATTATTTTGGAGGTCCTCAAACTCGCATAGCCCAGCACTTTATTACCTGCTATAAAGACTGCCCATTCAACAATAGCAGGGTCTGCATTCTCAGGGACTGGATTTAAAAGCTCCCCTGTATTTCTTAGGGAACACTGTATTTACCATGAAGATCATCTCTCAAAGCTTCACAAAATCCTTAGTCCAGAAGGCTTAAAAGGACACAAACAGTTCTTGCAACAGACCAATAACTGCTACTTCCAACAAAACTCAGAATCTCCATCTAGGATTCTAGGATATAATACCATTAATGTCTTTCACTGTGAGAGGTTTTCTTCTTCCTACAAGAACCTGAGGCAATAACCTAAAATAGGAACATCCTCAAGAAAGATAACTGCCTGCCTTCAAGACCAGGACTTTCCCTATAGTTCCCCAAAGGTATTCGACCACTACTGGGATAACACAAATTGGAATGCAGACACCTGAACAGATTATAGATGAAAATACAAGTACTTCAGCTACTGCAGAACCTAAGAGGACATGAAATTCTCTCAAGAGTCATGAGTTCAGTGTTCCTTCATGCCAGCAGTTATCAGCTTCATTAAAACCCAGGCAGCAGCTCTTAATCACTCCAGCGACTGGCCTATCCTCATTCATACAATATAGTTAGACAACTATATCGACGTATACAACAATATAGACAACTAAGCCTTGGAGGAAGGCTACATAGCACTGCAGTTCCACAGGTAAACACTAACACTGGCTGTGCTGAACACAAGAAGGTCAGAGCTACCTTCATCAACTGATGAAGTTGGCTGTTAGATTTAACACTTCTGAGTGAAAAAGTATCCTGCATTGCAACAAATGATGTTGACAGAGTTCTGCTGGTGAGCCGTCTTGACCAACTCATACTTCAGTTTCAAGGGTTTATTCTTAAATGCACTGTCTGATCTCAAGGATCTTCCTGAGGTGCTTCAAGGAGAACTTCAGGGCTCTACAAAGAGACCTCCTCTTGTTTCTTCAAAGCATGGATGATATTTGTTGACATGCCTACCCACAAGTCATGGTTGACTCAGAAGCAAACAACAAACTTGGCTATCTGTCTTGGACACTGTTCTACCACTCAAGTTTTGAAGCTGCTGAGCAGTCTTCCTTGGAGATCATACCTGAAATAGAACAAAAAGGACACTACTACATTAAGGGAAGTGCCAAACCAATCCACACAGATGCCAGAGGCAGAGCTGCTGAGATGTCCAGGTTTGAACATACGCCAAAAACAATGCCACACGCACACAAAAAAAGACATTCTAAAAGAAATAAAAAGCCTCAAGTACAGTAACTTCAGCTGAAGCTCTTCCTTCCTAAAGGGCCTTCAGAAAGCCTCTACTCATTTTAACTGTTCCAAGGGACTGTTTGCAAGAGCAAACCAACAGGTTTTAGCATGGCCAGACTGTTTCACAGCCAGCTGTCAGGACAGGACTGAGAAGCAAGAATTTATCAAGGCAAAGAGACAGACTGGAGGGAAAAAAACATGCTGCCTCCTTAGAAATCACTGTAAGGAATAGAATAATTTTCACCTCAGAAGCCGCAGCAGTAAAATACAGCTTCATTAGGCCTACATATCTCCCTGAAAATAAATAAGTCTTCCAGGGCTCCACAGCCTGAACACTTCTCGTCTAACTTCTTGATCTAGATCCTTCTCCTTTGCACATGGAGAGGGGGCCACAAACTTCAAAATCTCAATTTGGATCTCAGTTACAGGCTTCAGCCTTATCAGATTATTTCAATGTGTACATGACAAAAGTATAGCATCAGGCTTAAGTTTTCCATATGAATAGAAGTAATTTAGAGATGAGGTACTGTGCCCGAGAGATGCCTGCTTTTTGGTAACAGCAAAGTCCATGACCACTAAGGAAGAATCTGGATCTCAGTCTTGCTTGTAATGCTTAGGCCGATTAGCAGCTATAACATTTAATGAGTACAAATCATACGTTTCCTTGGGACAGTCATTTTCCTGAGTTTTCAATCATGACGCTTGCATACACATGAGAAGTTAAAAGCAAGAGAGGCATTGTAGGGTCCTTTCCCTAAGTTACGCTGCTACCCTATTCTCCTTTTATTCTCCTTACATCATAAAGATCAGCCTGCTGACATATTTTAAAAAGGTAGCCTTCGCATAAGTTTGGCATTTGAGCTAGCCAGAATGGTTTTTGTATACTAAAATTCCTAGTATTGAGCCACAGTTGCTTACATTAATTCGCATGTATATGTTACATTCCTTTTACACTAATGTTTAAGTTCTGTTTGTGAATCAAGGCAACTGAATAGATTGAAGGACTGCCAAGTGGAAACAAAATTTGAGTTAGTGGATCTCATCCTTTTATCAGTTCTGTGCTCCTTTTCTGCTCCTGGGATAAAGACATTTCTCTTTTTCCCCTTAGGCTGACTAAGTTTAAGGTCTCAAGAGTTTTCTCAGTTCAGGGAGGGAAGAAAGAGTGCTCCATAACCTTAGAAAAGGCTGCTACTAAAATCATTTCATGTCATTTCAACAAACTTTATTTCTATATGCTAAATGCACAATTTCTACTACAACAGATTTTAAGTTTTTAATATATATAACTTTGAAAACAAATATTAAATGTATTAGTTATCTGATAAATCATAACTGTCACCACTTGATTTTTAACAATGTTGTTTTACATATCTTTAATGATCAGGTTGTTTAAAAAAGTTTTAAACACTTCTCTTCGGTTTTTTTAGTCACGTCCAGAAACTGACAACATCAAGGTAAGTGTTTTTGGCAATGCTTATACTGCTGTTCAGAGATATAAGCATTCAAGGCCAAAAAATAAAATGCAGCTTGGAAAGCCAGAACCATTTTCTGAGGAACGACCTCATTTTACCATCAGTCTGATGAACTAGGCTCAATTCACAGGAATAAAAATTAACCAAATTTAGGGTGCTGCCAGAAAACAGGTAAGAACTGGCCATAATTGTCATCCACCTCTGCTTCAACGTGAAGGGAAGACTCAGGGCCTCCCAAATCATCTCTGCTTGATGTCTATAAACAAGGGCCAACTTGAAATTACGCAACTAAGATACTAAACAAACTGCAGCTAGATCTCAGATTTCCCCATCTTTCAAGGTTAATAGTTAGACATGAGAGAGTAGGCTATAAAACTGTGCTCAGAGCTTCACTTCAATACTTTCCACAGTTGTTCTGTCACCGGGTCAAAGATTCTGATTGTTAACATAATGGAGTTCTTGAGCAGAAAAGATAGAGCTGGACAACTATTTCTGGCTGAGACTACCTTCTGTACCAGTATTTTATAAAGGACAGGTTTACTACAAACTGATATCAATAAAAGAAATCAACCACTTTCCTTGTTCTAGACAGCATCAGACTGTTTGACCAGTCACTGCCTCTGGCTAATTTTTTTTGGCCTCAAAAAAAAAAAATCTGGAGACCAAGAACTGTGCTGGAAAGAAAACACTCAAGGAAAGAATGCCTCTCCTATGCACATATTTCCAGAAGATGAGAAGAGAGCACAAGAACAATGGTTTCCAGACACATTCTGACACCCCCCACTACGATTCAATTCATCCTTGGATTAGCAGCTGGTACTTCCACTTTGCTGGAACAGGAAGGCAAGAGAAGTAATGGAAGCAGACAGTATCAAACAGGTAGCACCAGCAGAACACAAATAGCTGGAAATCCATCTCTGAAGGCTTGACGAGGGGCCAACACTTGCTACTGCTCTCCTACAAGGAGGCCAAGGAAGCACTGGGTAAGAGGGAAGTTATTATTTATTTTCACTATGTCACTGCTACTAGCAATATGAGTAAAAAAAATGCACGCATGTGCACACACAAGAAAAGCAATCCTCTGTCTTCTCAGCATAGCTTATTTCTACCCTATCCCCCTCCTCAAAAAAGAAAAACAAGAACAAAAGAAGCTTAAAAATATATTTTTGCATACATCACCTACATATAATGAGGTTGTATAATCAAATGTATCATTTAAGCCAGCAGTTTGAAGCTTGCAGGTACCTAGATCAGAGAATTGCAGTTCAATCAGGAAAAATGCCCTGACCAATTTTTAGTAGAAAGCAAAATTTAACACCTCTCTTATGCTGGGACCATGTCATAGCTTCCAAATGCTTAAATTAGAGGGAAGCTAATTTCCTTGCTTTTTCTATAGAGCTAAGAGATAGCTGTGGTTTTTTTTGTTTTTTTGTTTTTTTGTTTTTTTGCATTTCCAAATATCTTTAAGTGTGCAAGTACAGCAAGCTTGAGGGTTTTTTTAACTAGCAAACAGTCTGTCATCTTTACAAGTAGCTTATCCACAAGACACACACTCCATGCAATATCTAATAACATTTTACTGTAATCAATTCACAGAGGCCTTGTGACAAACAAGCAACAAACATTAAAGAGACCAACCCTTCAGGAACAAAGCAGGCTCATGTAAGGGCTTAAAGAAACAGATTTTAAAAGAAAAATCAACACGTCACTGGCAGGTCAAGAGATTTTTTTCAGGAGAAAATAAGTAACAGAATATGCAAGAAATAGCAAGTAGAAAATAGAGTGCTTGAACTAGGAGCTTAGGTCACAGCTCATGGTAAGCTGACATCAACAACTAGCCAAATTCAACAAAAGCGATCAAGTTAAGAAAGATGTTATATACAATATTGGTATTTCCACTTAGACTGTTCTTAATACTACTACTATTGCTCCCACAAACCTGGCACTGCATGAGACATCCCACATGGGAAAGCAGTATAACCACATTTATCCCACTCATATCAGGGCTAAATAACTAAAGTCAAGAATTCACTATACAATATACTTAACCACAACACCAGCTTAAGATGTCCCTGTTCTCATTCCAACCAAATTGAGTGGATAGCATACTGCAGGGGCAGGTAATAGGAGTTCTTTAAGTCAGAACTGCTGAACACTTTTAAACATGAAGCCACACAACTCATTTGCAGCATCACACAAGCACTTATACTGCTTCAAAACCAAATCTAGCATGGCCATAGAGTAACGCAGCATGCTGCACAGACTCAGAAGGCTCAGGGAATTAGGCTTTACTATCACATGGTACAGACACCCCTCCCCCCCACACCCAAGAGTCACTGGAAGTCCAAGAGTTGATGAAAACGTCTCATATAGGCTTGATAAAGCATACAGAATATAGACATTACCCCATTTTTAAAGAGAGGGGCATGGGTCTGCAAGAACTCTGTTCACATACATCTAGAAAGGAAAGTAGTTCAAACATGAGTAGTGGGGGACAGCAGACTGCTAAAGAGGCAGGAGTTGTAAAACATGAGCTATCAACATCCACGTTCATGGCATAAAATGAAAGAGAAAAAGGAGGAGAAATACAGAGATCAAGAGAAGTGCTCAATTATGTCAGTAGCCAGTTACATTAATAAGAAGTACTAGTAAGAGGTATTAATAAATTAATCTCTATCCTTCTTAGTTGTTCCCTCCCTTATTTTCCCACAGGCATCTCAATATGTGGATCACAGGATCCAAGCTATAAGCCCTTCATGGAATTAAACGTTTCCCTTCTCAGCAAACTTCAGATATAGGCCTCTGCCTTTATAGATAAGGCTACTCCACTGCCCAACATTACAGAATATGGTCATCAGCATACTCACCTCTGTACAAATTATTCCACCACAGCTCAGTGGTCCTTTCTCCAGGCTACCTCTGCACACACTCTTTTCACACACATCCTCCCACTGAATGCTGCCCTAACGCATTCTTGCCTCTTTCAATCGCCAAGTAGAGTAAGTGCTCTACTTTGAAAAACCTCTCACCAGCACTAACAATAGTGGGATACTACTTTAGTTGTGACTTCTTCTGGCCAAAGGCAGTTAACATAGCATTTCCTAACCTTGTTCTTAGCAGGCCAAAATTAGCGTTGATGTTAGTAAGTGCTGTCCACATTAGGAAGCCCACCTTCAGATACTGCCAATCAATAAAAATGCACCAGTCTTATCGAAGGTGGGAGATTTAAAATATCTACTGCAGACACACACAAAATAAATATAAAGGACAACAAGCATTAACCGGAAGAACAACTCCTCCAAGACAAGGTATAGACCCAGGCAGTGCATCTCCCACCTAGGGCCGGCTCCCTCAA